GGGGTGGGGGGGGGGGGGGGGGGGGGGGGGTTGAAGGAGTAAGAAGAGGTAGGTAAGAACAAGATGATGAGCTTGTGTTGTAGGGCATTGTTCTTCTAATCCGTTTTAGGGTTAGTCATTTTATAATAACGTCTTCGCGCCTCCCCGTGTAAGCTAGCGTCCAATAATATCTATCATCCATGGAATTTTTATAATCTTTTTTTACGACCAGAAAACGCTTAAACTCTACGCTCTACAATGTACGACTATTATGCATGAGGAAAGTCTCGTGAAATAAGACTCGTGCATCCAGGCGGACCTTTGCATGAAAGAAGGGGAAGAGGGAGTTAGAGAGACGCGGGATTGTTGGTGGGGAGGGGGTGAGGGCGGGGGGGGGGGGGGGGAGGGGAGGAAAAGGCAAAGGCGATACGCAGCAATTGGCAGTGGAAGCGTGATGGGTCGGGTCGCGCGGACGGCGAGGGGCGTGGTGGATCGGTGATGACGAGGGTAAATTAGGAGCTGGATGATCGAGGCTGGTGGTGATGGGCATCGTCGGGACGCTTCTGCCCTCGGTTCGGGCTCTTGTCGCCATCCTCGAGCTCGCTGCCCGACGACGAGGTTGGCGAGTTCTCGAGCTGTAGGTCGATGCCCTGGGTGAGCAGGCTCGTTATCCTCTCGACGTTCACGGACTCGTCCTGCTCGTGGATCTTGCGCAGGGCATTGGAGACGATGCAGAGGTCGCCGCGCAGCTCCGTCACCACCGCCGTTATCTTCTGAGCGTCCGTCAGCACCTCCACCGACTGCGTGTACGGGTTGTAGCGGAGGCCAAACGGACGTTTAATCTGGCCCGCGAATTGCCTGGGGACAAACGCCCGATGCCGGGGGCTTGAAAATCGATCGTCGAGCGTGTGATCGGCAACCCCGTCCCGACGGATTACCTCCCCTCGCGGACCAACTGGTTTTATTGCCGACTTGCCGCACTTGGCGTGCCCCTTTCGTCCGCTTTCCTTCTTTCCTTCTTTCATTCATTTCTCAGCCGTTGAACATTATTAATCGCAGCCACCAAATTGACAATGTATCGCGCCTCCTTTTCGATTCCGGACATCGATCAACGCATCCCTCACCCCCACGCTGCTGCTACTCGTTATTTAATCGAATTTCAATATCCGCGTCGCAAGCTAAATTTTCACAAAGCCGCGCGCATCAAGTATGGAATAAGGTTTTGAAGGAAAAATTAATTATAATAAATTTTGCCGATAAGTTATCATCGTCGCATGCATGTAGAGTCGAACGTGTGTCGGTGTCGTGTCGGTGTCGGTGTCGTGTCGGTGTCGTGTCGGTGTCGTGTTAGCCTCGTGTCGATGTTGTCCAATTCCTTCCAGTCGTGTGTACTTTTAAACGCGTAAAATTTTCTCTTATAGTATCACGTTACCTGGTACGATGCAATACAATGTTTCTTTTTATTGATAATTATAAGGACGGTTAAGAATTTGCTGAAATTTCTTTTCTTCCAAAGTAAATTAATCCTTTTTATAAGTGACATTCAAAATGACAGCGATTACGCCGGGGATGTTTTGGGCGGATATTGGTACATGGGTCTGGAAAAGTGACAAAGATTCCAATTCCAAGCGCTGCTTTGCCATTTGGTAATAAAAGACGAGGAGATGATAAACAAAACAAATGTCCGGGCAGGTTACGGCGGCCGAGTCGTGAATGTCATATCCATTTCGAAGGTTATTTACGCTTAAAAACAAACGCCTAACGAACGGCAGAGTGGCGCGCAAAGACGCGACACGACGCCTTTTGTCGTCGCATTTCGTCTCGCAAGGGGTCGTGAAAATATTATTGAATTATTATTATTGAATTATTGCTCGTTTAAAGAAACTTGGATACGACGTTGAGTACGATCGCGCGGATGAAGCTCTATCGGTGGAATTACCACCTCTCTCTCTAGTTCCCGAATTCTTATACGATTTTGGAAAATTAACGGCCCGATAATAAGGCACTCTATCGGAAGTACTACTGTCACACTCGTTCGCCTATATATAGATATATATATATATATATATATATATATATATATATATTTCTCGCGCGAAAAAACACCCGATACTTTATACAAACATATATATATATATATATATATATATATATATATATTACTCGCGCCAATAACCAACCGATACTTCATACCAACCATAACCAATGACTTACCTCATTTTGTCTTTGGCCTCTTCGATACTGTCGGTATAGTAGTACGCATTTTGAAATGCCGTGATAATGCATTGCTGCTTAACGGTGAGGTCGGGCTCGAATCTAAAGGTCTTCTCGGGCGTCGAGACCGCGTGCCTCAATTCGGCTATCGAGGATAAAAGACCAGCCCCGTAAACACGCAGATTTCCGTCTTGCTTGCACAATCCGAATTCTACCGTGAAGAAGTAAAGCTGGATGAAGGGAGAGAAAGAGAGAGAGAGAGTAAGGCGCTTTCGTTGAAAGTGAAGCCAAGTGCTTTCGAATAGATGGATGTTGGTGCCGTACGATAGGAATGATTATATTTTCAATTATACGTGCCGTGACTCTGTGCAACCACTCCACATCGCTTTAGCTGGTGACACAGAGTGGCGAGACATAGTGTACGATTTTTATCATTAGGATATCTTACCGTCGCAAGTTTATCGACATCTTCGTCCGACGCACCTAAAGAAGCGAGTCCAAGTTCCTGCGAAAATTGAGCAAAGCTAGGATTCGCTAAAAGCGGCATGTGTCCTAAAAGCTCATGACAGCAGTCGCTGTAACAAGTCACAACAAATACTTTCGATATATATATATATATATATATATGTAGATAGACGAAAAATTTCACATAAATATTCAAGGAATAATAATAGCGATAATCGTCGCAATAATGAATAAAACATACGGTTCGGGTGTGTAGAAGGGGTCCGATGAGTGCCGGATGTACTGGGTGCAGTGGAAAACACGAAAAGCTAGTCCAGCCAAAAAGTCTCGGGGCGATAAGTAACCAGCCACTGGACGCAACTGGAAGCCCGTCATTTCTAATGTGTGTTTAGGAGTTAGGATGGGCGTCATTTTTAACGAATCAATGACAAATTCAATGATTAAATACCTACTCTTTAAAAATGTGTTGACGTCCTCTAACTGTGGTATGTTATCTTCTCTGGAAAAAGAAAAGAGGATATCGATCGAAGGAGGAATATATCAACGCGAGTATTGCGCATTAGGAAAGTGTGTGACAGAGAGAGAGAGAGAGAGAGAGAGAGAGAGAGAGAGAGAGAGAGAGAGCGTTACGAATTCATTATTAAAGCTTACTTACCTATAGCCACAATATTTTACGAGTTTCGACCAATTCTCGAGGTATTCCTTGCAAGCGTATTTTTGATAAAGTTGATAAAGCTCGCGAAAAATTGTTCCCCTGTTTTGATAAATTATAATTATTATCATTCTATCTGACGCGCTTCATACAAATATTTCATTTTTCTTTATCTTTCATTCTTTGTTTCTTTTTTTCCTATCTTTTTTCTTTTGCCGATTATCATAAAGAGCACAATCATACCAAATATAGCGAACCCTATCTTTACATATTTATCATCGCGCACAAATATTATTATTATTTATAGTTGTTTTACCTATAATTGTTCTTTCATGCATCTTTCATTAAACGAGAATATTATTGCAAACTATTTGGAAATTTTGTAAAAATATAAAATTGTATGTAATACTTGCAATGAGTATTAATATCTTTTTTCTTTTTTTTTTTTCTTTTTTTACTATAAAAATAATTCACTGTGCATGTAAATTTCATTATTATAATTTTTAATCATTATATAAATTTGCATATCTGCGTATAATGTAACTCTGATATATATTTTTATTACCTTCTCAGCATTATAGAATATACTTTAACTTTATCTATGCTAATTCGTAATAGTCTCGGATAAGTTGGACTGGTCGTTCGTATAAATAATGGCAATAACAGTGCTCCGTCATTAATTTCAGTCAAATTCTTAAACTATATTTTGAAAATGTATCAAACCTTATATAAACAATGGAGAATTACTTTAATTACAAGAGACGTTTTGCATGGATAAAATAATGCGTAAATAAAAATCTTGGAAAGCTTTTAAGGTTTGGCTAGAATTTACTTTTAATTTATTAAAAAGTCGTGGCAAATATTCGTTGCCAATGCATTAGTCCGAGCGATCAAGTATTTCTCTAGTCGTACGTTTCGCGGTTAATCTCAAAAAAAAAAACATTACGACCAGGAATAATATAAAAGATTTTTTTGAAAGCAATTGAAGTAACGACATTAATAATGAACGATAATGTCAAATAAAATAACGAATCGCGTTTTAATAAGCGCAATCGTTACAAATTTATTTTTTAATAAAGCACGAAAGTTCACTCAAATACAATAATTAACGTGTAAGACTTAGCCACCATATCTTTGTAATTAAAGTACAGACATTAAAATATCTCATGTTTAATCATTGTCCTTTTAATCGTCTCGATCTAATAAGTTCTAAGGTTTGCACAATATAGCTAAATGTTCTTGAGAATTTTAGAAAAAATTGCGAATTCGTCTCTTGGTCAATAATTCTGAGAATAAGACTACTCGATTTTACATATCACTTTTCTCTCGAAGTTCGTATAATATTATTTCTCTTTTTTTTCCCCATCCTTTTCTCTTTTTCTTTTTATATATGTTTATATACCTAATATTCGACCAACGAATTTCAATATAAAAAAAAAAAATAATAATAATAATAATAATATAATATAAAATAAAATAAAATAAAATAATAAAGTAATAATAATAATAATAAACGTTGCTGTATAAAGCTTCTCGGGGATTCGAGAGCGTATAATCATAATTATAATCGTGTAGTGTAATCAAAGCGAATGACATTTACAGTCCCTTAAATCGTTTACTGCCGTTGCAGTTTTGACGAAGGAGAATCCAAATTAATCGTGTCGGGAATTAATTGCGGCGTGAACTCGAGCTTAAAGGGAACAATTAAAGAGAGCAGCTGGGCGAGCCCGAAGGGCCGCGATAAGTACGTTTTGGTGTAGAAAAATGATCAAAAGGCCAAGTTTATTTCTCAAGTTGCGCTTGCGAGGACAAGCTCGAGCTTGAATAACGTCTTGTATGTCGGATACGACGTAACTAGAACGGAGAATGAAACGAGGGCAATTAGGCTTCATTCAGTTCGTAAACTTGCTTTCGATAGCTATCCTATCCCCCCATCCATCCCATCCGGCCACCAACCTCACCACGTCACTACTATTGAGAGGATACGAGGGCGCGAAAATGTGATTGGCTTCGTGAACAAGGAATCACGCTCCACCTTGCCATGTGTCTTGGCAAACTTTCTTCCGCGGCCATTAGATTTACTGCCGCGCCAATTTCATCCTGATTTTCATTTTCATCCTCAGCGGCCTTCCCTTCATCCCCTGCCATTTTCTTTTAACATTATCGTACTTTATTTAGGCCAAGATAACGCACAATCATCGGTTCTTCCGTCGCTTTTAATTTACATCGCGCTCGTGCTTTATAAGGGCTTACTTGCGTAACAAAAAACGCCTTCACGGATTTTCAAGGATTCACATATGAATTTCTATAATAAGGCGTCAAAATTTACCAGGTTTTTATTTCTTCAGGCGTGTACTGGATTTTCGGAATTGGCATCCCACTGGAAACGAACGAAAGCATTAGGCATATTAGGTCATATCATATTATAAGACAAATAAGGTAAGCACGAATGACAAAAGAAATTGAATGGCGAAAGAAACCTACTGTTTGTAACTGTTTGCGATATCGGCAAACTGCTCGCGTCGCTTGCGATAAATCGGATCCTTGAAACCCTTTTAATGAAATTACATTCAGATGCGCTCATATGCAAAATAATCTTATATAAATTTCAACGTGCATCACTTACAGGATGATCAGCGTCCAATTCTGTGCCATACATCAGGACATTTTGCGCTTGATCTAAGTCAGCGATTTTCCGAGGAAACCATACCATGTCAACTTCGCTAAAATCTGTAATTCATAGATTTATCGAGCGACAGATCGGTGATCCGACAATTATTTTAAGATCAATTTGGTTGTGTGAAGCTGGACGCGGCTAGGATTTAGAAGAAAATCGAACTTGGCGAGTTAGAAAAACATCTTTCGACGAGTTTCGAAAAGCAGCGAATATAATATTGTTTACAATTAATTAAGTCTCGCACTTCAAAATTATCAAATATTTTCAAAAACTTTAAACACCAATGCACCAATACGGGCGTGCGCAAGAAAAAAAAATTATACTAACATTTTGCCAGCGTAAGTGAGTGAAATTACATTTGCCTGTTAAATTCAATAAACTTTCTTATATAAATAAAATGTGTTCGTTCCGTGAAAATCACTTGACAAATTATTATAATTTTGCAGAAATTAAATAGCATAGATTAGTGGAATTTTGGCGGATAAGTTACTCGAGACAATTGGATATTTCTCAATGGGCTTAAACTAACTAATGTTTAATACGACTTGGAAGCGAAAGACGAAGCCGAAAAGCGAAAAGCGAAGGACAAAGTTCTCCAATCAGGATCGGTAGATGCTTTTTATTTTATTTTTCGTTCATTTTCTTGTTTTTTTTTTTTTTTTTTTTTTTTTTTTTTTTTTTTTTTTTTTTTTTTTTTTTTTTGATCGCGAAACATGACTAAATCTTACGGCCTATGGATGTTTGTTTGAACGTGTAAGTTGCCAGAGTGACAAGGGAATCGAATCGAAGGCTAAAGTAAAATGGGCTGACCGAAGCTCGGAGCTGCCGATAACGGTGGATGAGGGGCAGTGCTGCTTTCCTCGTATTGGTCGAGATTAATCGCGGCGACCTCGCGACTAAGCATCCGCGTGAGTTGCTCCATCCGCTTCGTGTCGCACTCGACGTCCACCAAGATCTCGTACTCCGAGCCGCGGCGCATCGATTTTCGCGACTCAATGTGCACTACGTTCACGCCCAGATCCTGCAACAATAGGCGACTCATGAGCACGGCCGATTACGATAAATCGGTCATTCGCGCGCATCAACATTCGACGAGATATTTGAATGACCCACCTGGAAGACTTGGAGGGCCCTGGCTAAGCCGCCCACTTGGTTCTTTAATGAAAACACGAGGGAATTGGTCGTGTCAGCGGCGGTACCGGGCTTCTCCATCAGCGGTACCTTTAAACAAACAGTTTTATCGATCGGTTTGCTCGATTACGACTCTGCGAGGCAATAATTACGTGACAGGAGTACTCACGCCGGATCTGGTGGGCAAAGGACTGCCCTCCTTTATGGTCCACTCCTCGTCCCTCCTGTAAAGCCACATTCCTAGTAATCCTTTGCCCGAGCCGCTCATCTTGTTGATCCAACGTATTTGCGAATCCTAGGTTTTAACAAGTGAACAAGGAGTCATTCGTAAGGTTCATACGGCTTAGAGGAATATTTTGTAAGTTTATTTTCATGCGATCGCTTTCGAATTTATCTCGGATATTTCGTTCTAGTGGCCGGGATTCTAATATTGCCTATCAGTCTATCTATTATTACGTACGTTAAACAACTCGAACACACATACACCTAAAGAGGATGAATTATCGTTGTTAAAGCTCATCGATGTTAAAATTTTTATAAAAATCGCTCGATCTGTCAATGTGAATTATAAAGCATTGATGAATAAACCATTGTTAAATTTTTAATGAAATTAAGCTAAAGTAGATTTGATCCATCTTTTCAGCTTTGTAAAATGTATTTTAACACAACCTCTCTTACGTACTAATACTTGGACTCCTCGTGTTGCGTTGATGTTAAAAGATTAGCTTTCTCGCTCTTCCTTGAGCACAGCAATAAATTAAAAACAAAATATGTAACTAATCCAAAGCGCACCGGACGCCGTAGCGATTAATTCGATTTTCCAATACTTTTCCATACTTTCGTTAAGTTTATAATTTAACACAAAACTTCACAGAAAGTTAAACAAACAAAAACAAAACAAAACAAAAAAAAAAAAAAAAAAAAAAAGATAATAAACAATATGAAACAAAACCAAAAAATTAAAACGAAATCACTCGCGCAATAGATAAAAATTCTAATCGAGCCAAACTGTCAATTATCCGAAAGATTATAATTATTGAAATTAAGTTTCGCGATTGATAGATGGTGAAAAGATGGCGGGCGGGGTAGTGGTTAAGGAAATTCTCGACAAACCTGGCCGAGTACTATCGCCAATAGAAAATAAAAATCACGTATTGTGTTTGTGGAGAAAGTGTAACTAGCAGTGTCATGGCTTTGATGATTCTGGGGATACTTAAGCTCTCACCCCCTCCGGGAGGGCGAGTATATTGAATGGCGGGATAGAAGCCGATTGGTCGTCGCTGCCAGGACGAGTGACTTCCCATTGGACGATGAGCGGAGTTTTGTGGTCTCTCTCTATCTCCTTCCCGCTTTTCCGAAGCTTTCATTAATTTTCCTCATCCTCTCCCTTCCTTCGTACTCACTTCCGTGTTCTACTACTGGTCGTCCATACGGTGATTTCGAAAAGTCACGGAGAGGCGAAAATGTATTAAAAGAATAAATAATTTTAGTCTGCCGCCTAATAATAAAACGCATTATTGTAATTACAATGTGTCGCGTGTCAACGATAATTGATGGACCAATGAATTATATTAATTATAATAATAAACGACAGCGGGCACTCGTTTAACAAATTTTATTACGAATAATCGTCAATTGTTGTCGCGCGTAATATTATTAATAAAATTAACTCCAACTGATGGTATTTTATCATTATATCAATTATAAAAACACATCCTTTGGATAAGAATTATTTTACGGTGGCCCATCTCTATTTTCCAATATTTGACACAAAGATTGTTAAAATAGGAATTACTTTCACCATCGGCACAGTACGTAGCTAAACGCATAATAAAGGGCAAAGGACTCAAGCGAGCGAATAATTAAACTGCCCATGCATTGATGAAGTAAAAATGGCAGGGAGGAGGAGAGCGAATAAGAATCCCAATAGAACTCTCGATGCGATTTAAGTGGATGAAAAAAGATTGCGCAATAAGGGTAGAAGCACGGCTTCTCTTAATAAAAACAAAACCATCCGGAAAATCAGATGCAGCACATTAGCCGTACTGGCCATCGGTTACGCTCTATCGCACTCGTCTTATGTTTCTATGTGTGGAGCCCAGTGACGCACAACAGACGATTTTTCATTATACCTCCATATCTATCGACATCTCTCCTCCTTCAGTCCTCCGATTTCGATTCAAGGGCGTCCGGCGGTGGGGAGAGCTGATTTTGAATACCACCGGTTCACACTTTAACAACCATGTAAGATGATCTTTGAGCTTCGTAATGATTCGCCAGAGCCACTTTTCCACTATATGATATATCAAAATGGCTTGTTACGTATTAAATAGATGTATAATCGAAGGTTGTGATTGAGCTTCTAAATCATTGGGAATAATCTAATAATCCATCATATCACATTTAAATCCGAAATAAGATAATCGAGCCCGTAATCGATCGACGTTACATCAGCTTAATTTTAACAACAATTTCAAAAATTTCAACAACTTTATAAATATTTTTATAAAATGAGTGAAGAAAATTCACTGAATTAATGATCGCGTTGCCGTGTCCTGATCACATTCTTTTATAATCGTTTTATTTCACAATATCAACTCTATTACTTGTTTAAAAAAAATTTTAATTTATTTTAACGTTCCCATTTTAAAAATCAAGACATACAAACGAAGAAAAGTCTTAAAGAAAAGAAAAAGAAGAAAAAAAAAGAAAAAGAAGAAAAAGAAAGATAAATGATGAATTGGAGGTCGTTTATTCCGCTCGTTTTCAAGATTTAAAAGAGAAAAAAAGCTTTGTTTGCACCAATTAGAAAGTTTCGCGTCATCGAATTATTTTATTGCTTATTCAAGCAACGTCTTCTCTCAATCTTCAAAAATCATAATTTTAATAAATATTTCAAAATTTAATCAACTATACGTCTATCTTAATGCCAAAATCATTATTATTATTTCAAACTACGAATTAACAATAATTTTAAAGATACAATCGTGCAGAGTGACATTAGAATTAGTTTAAACATTAGCAAAGTAACGATTACTTTAACATCATAATTTAAGTGATGCTTACCTCGCTAATAATCGGCTAATTATAATTTGAATAAATAATGGAAATTTCAAGTGCATGTCCAAGGCTTTTAAGCGGTTAATTAAACAATAGTATATTTGCGAAATTTTTATATCCCCTTAGTGTACGCATTACACATTATTACATTTCTCCATTCGAACATCAATCGATCAAATTGCATTTTAATAACGAAATTGTCGCAAAACTCTTTGCCATAAAATAAAAGTAATATACAGAATATCTATTATTTCGTAAGTTAGAGGAATTATTGGAAACATTGTAGTAGTAAACGAGGAAAGTGGAGAAATCACTGCTTTGTAAAATATCAATTACTTATGGTGAAATTCTCGGGGGAATTCTGTTTATTATCACCAGATATTTCAACTTATCGACGAGATATAAAGAAAAGCGAATGTATTAGGTTGATATTAAAAATTTTGCACGATTATATAAAAGAGCCTGGGCGATTTGATTTCGTTATAAATTCATGTTGAAAAAGTGCACAAATATCATATAAATTTTAATAATTCATTGTCTGAATAATTTTCATTTTATTTCTAAAATTAAAGAAGATTTTCTACTTGATGTCAAATCAAATTGCAAGGGCGATGATTATTATTATTCATTGTCGACAAATAATCCTATGTACTTAAGCGACCATCAGCGGTCACTTTACGCAAACAAGAAAATTCAATAGTCTTGCTGAAAAAATATGATGAATCGAACCTTCTCGCAATCGTCATTGATAATTTCAAATCTCATGGTAACAAATCGATCATTTTTACAAATTCGACTAAATAACTAAGAATTTTTTTGTTCTTTTTTTTTTTATTTTGAACCCGAATTGAGCTTATATTGTTTTATTAATTACTATTACAAATGTCCAGATAATAGTATAAATTTGAAAATTCACATAATTCACGAATTGTTCAGTTGAAAAATGTTCGCCAGTATTTCTAAACTTTGATATTAATTGATCCGCTACTTAATCTTAAATATGCCATTAAAAAAATATCATCGTCTAATCGACGGCAGAGGAGGGACGTTTGTATTTTCATCCTATGGATTAACACTATTGAACGCCAGAAATACATGTATACGTCAATGGCTAAATAGTCGATATTAAATATATTTATGTAATTTACGAATTATATTGCGTTTAGCGAAAAATTTTATTGCAATTCACAGAAAGCAGCGATAATAATAATAATAATAATAATAATTATTATTATTATTATTATTTTATTATTGGTGTCGTTAGCATGGAGAATAATTTGAATTATTTCAATAGACAATAATGAAGAATGAGAGTAAGGCGACAAGGATTCACGGTCCTCGTCTATTAGGCAGTATAATTATCACTAAAGCGACGTGAATACGTCGACACAAATAACTCAGCAATATTTATTAATTCGAGTTTATTGTAAATCGGCAAACTTGTTGCACGCGTCATTATTATCATAGGCTTTGCATAAAGTTCCATAAAGCATAGAGCTTCGTTTAAAAATCGACAATTCCTTGATTTCTCGAGTGAATTTATACATTAAGGCGGCTTGCTTTTATTTATTTTGCTGGATCAAGCGCCTCGATTTAATGACATTAAGTAAGTGCGATCGGGCGATAAAATCGAGTTAAGAGTGTGTGAGGCGACCGAGGGAATATCGGAAAATGCAGGCGTCATGTATTATCGGCAAAGTCAAATAAGGCAAGAGATCAAGGGGAAGAAAGGATTTTTGGAGCTTCGGTCGGGCCGGACATGTCCAACCTCGCCGCTAAAAAGGCGTTTGAATTGTCAACAGGAGTAGATAGAGATAGATAGATAGATAGATAGATAGATAGATAGATAGATAGATAGATAGATAGATAGATAGATAGATAGATAGATAGATAGATAGATAGATAGATAGATAGATAGATAGATAGATAGATAGATAGATAGATAGATAGATAGATAGATAGATAGATAGATAGATAGATAGATAGATAGATAGATAGATAGATAGATAGATAGATAGATAGATAGATAGATAGATAGATAGATAGATAGATAGATAGATAGATAGATAGATAGATAGATAGATAGATAGATAGATAGATAGATAGATAGATAGATAGATAGATAGATAGATAGATAGATAGATAGATAGATAGATAGATAGATAGATAGATAGATAGATAGATAGATAGATAGATAGATAGATAGATAGATAGATAGATAGATAGATAGATAGATAGATAGATAGATAGATAGATAGATAGATAGATAGATAGATAGATAGATAGAGAGAAAGAGAGAGAGAAAGAGAGAGAGAGAGAGAGAGAAAGAGAGAGTCGAGGCTCGATGAATCGCTTGCGAGATCTCGAACGTTCGTCTGACCACCCCCACAGTCGGGAATAGGGTTGATTTTGAGGGGGGGGGGTATACGAGGGCGCTGCGGACGTCTCTCGAATCAATATCGCCGCGGGCGCTCCTTAACTCTGCGAGAGCGCGGCCTGTCTGGCCCTGTCCCTACGTCGCAGCTACGGCCAGGATGGCCGACACCGAATTCGAGGAGTTCCGCTACTACTTTGACAGGCTACCCCAGCATCTGAAGGCGCCCATATCGAATTACACGTGAGTGCCCGAGACCTCGAACCCCCTTGACAGCTCCGCGATTGCAGCGACCGCGCGAACGAGAATTAAGCTTACGCCACGACTAATGACGAACGGCAACGGCGCCGCCGACGACGACGACGACGACGACGACGACGACGACGACGGCGGTGGCGGCGGTGGCAACGGCGGACGGACGTGCGAAAGGGAGACGACAATAACGACGATATAGCAATGTCGTCTAGTGCGTTGAGCGCAGTATAAAAAGTCGGATTCGCGCGGACTTACCCCGCCCATCCTACCCTCCCCGCACGTGTTCATCGGCCCAACTATCTGTGGCGAGAGTGTACGTCGCCGAGCTTTCGAGAGGACGATGATAAGGCGTATCGATTGTCACTCGATCATGCCAATCTCCAGCATTTATGTGCGTGTCGGTAAGGTGCTGCTGCGTTCGTTCGGCGATGCTGCACTGTCTGTGTGACGTCACGGGATTATGAAAGATACCCGAGGCTCTCGTAAGCGCGATGCATCTCTTATCATCGTCGTCTGCAGCTTTAAGCGAATTGACGGATAATAGCGGGCGGTGAAGTTTCCACTCCGGATTCCGCTCTGTGTCTTATGCTTAAGGCACAAAATTCATTCCCTCCGCTCTAAGAGGTCCATAGTCACGAATATCATCGGATCTTACAGCCTCGATTATTAGATTCACTAGTATGCGGTATCCCATCTATTTATCAAAATAGATCATTAAGATATTAGAAATATTAGTTTTACTTATCTATTTACTATTTACTTGTATGCTCCAGCAGCACATTGTAATGATGCGTACGTAAATACGTGTGTTGGCATACATACATACATACATGCGCACATATGTTCGTTTAGAACGCGGGTGAGTGAGTATGACCACACGTACGTACGATAAAGGTGAATGATTCGATAGTTTTACGGGGCACTCGGACCCATCTAATTTACGTCCGATGTACACTAATTATAACAACAACCAAATTTGGCGGTTGATTATTTTTTATCCTCTCCTCCTCCTCCCCCCCCCCCCCCCCCCACCACTACTACTACTACTACTACTAAAGACAACATATTAATAATGTAATTTTGACGCAGTCTCGTGCACGATGTGATACTGGACGACTCGCCGACCTCGTCGCAAGGGAGCGATGGCGAAGTCGGCCGGGTGATCCTGGACTCCGAGGACGAGGAGGTCGTGGTGTTACACAGCGGTCATAGCTCGGCCGACGACAGCGAGGAATGCGAGCAGATGTGCTGTTCGTCCATTGTCGCCGACAGCGATTTCAGGTAAATATGACTTGGCTCACCCCTATGTCGTTGCACACCCGCGGCTATTCCGTTCAATTAATTCCTTCATTTCCCAAAGGTTTATAGGAACTACCACACTTTCCTTTCCAAGAACCTCGTCATAAGTCACTTTCATTTTTCAAAGCCACGCAGCTAAAATTAGGGCTAAAACGGAGAAGGCAAGATAATACTTAATTTCGGCTACTGTTTAACTCGACAACATCGTTAATAATAACATGATCGCGGCCCATTCCATTATTAGCATCGTAATAGTAAATATCAAGTTTCTCGTGTCGATCATAAAATGAAAGTGAAATGAAGAAAGTCCAATGCCCTAAAGTCCACCCGCGCACATTCAAAGTAACGCGAAAGTAGAGGAGAGAGTGAGAGAGAGAGAGCGAGTGAGAGATAGATAGATAGATAGATAGACAGACAGAGAGAGAGAGAGAGAGAGAGAGAGAGAGAGAGAGAGAGAGAGTGAGTGATTAGGAGAATGACGAGAGTATTGATACAAGGATGGTGATCTTTAGCTTGTTCACCGGCTTGAACAGTGGCGTCGGAGGAAGCCGAGGCCGAGGCGGCCGCGACAGCGTCATCAGCGACATCGGGGACTCGTGCTCGTCGCTGAGCTCATGGCCGACGCCGGAGCACCAGCCGAGGCCGAGCATCGGGGCGAAGCTGCAACAGCCCGGCACCGAGCGCAGACGCAGGCGCCTGCCCGAGATACCCAAGAGCAAAAAGTGTAAGTGTTCGACCAAAGACCCGGGGCCCGGCTGTATTGGCTTTTCTCATTAATCGTCGACGGCGCTCCGGCCTCGTGCCCTCCTGCCCTCCGCGTATCTTAAGTCCCAGCTTCTTCCGAGGGGAGCTCGGATCTTCGCTGCTACGTCGGAGCAGGTATTATCGATCTCGCGAGGCCGTTCGGATTTCCTAGACCGCTGTTGTCGCATGCAACAGCCTCGGCGGCTGCTCGCTTTGTTCTTTGGTTTTCTGTCGCTTTAGAGCCGAATGAACGTCGAGTAAACGTCCTTTGCCGTCTTTGTTCAACAAGTTTCTATTTGATATACTCCGGGTTGCACGCGGTAAAAACACGCGCGTCAGCCTCGAGTTAGTTTTGTATTAGTTATACTTGCTCGCAATATTCATCGCGATATTTCATCTTTCAATATTTATTTTCGGGCTAATAAATACAGTGGTCGAAATTGCTCATTTATTATGAAATTCGACAAATAAACAATTATAATTTGTGTAATAAGTGTTTTCAGGATTTTTTTGCATGAGCATTGCGCAATCACGTCTGGATAGTGTTAATATTAATTCGGATAATGGACGTTTTAATTTTCTCTTATCAATTCGACGTGCGAGAATCAAATTGAAATTGAAAGACAAACTTGGAAATTGCATATTGGAAAGAAGGGAAGCTCGTAAACTCCTACGACGCATTGTCCTAAGGAAGTGCAAATATTCGAAGGAGCGAGTGGCTAGAGGATTTAATCATCCGATCAATGAAATGGATCTAATTTACATGACAACGTAATGTAAATATCGTGTCTTTTACCTTGATAAAGCTTAGATTGATAATACGATATCGCGATGTCGCGTTTACGAGTTTAACCGCGAAAGCCAAGACTTATGAAAGATGAATCTCGTGTCTTGTGAGTTGTAAAGAGTGTTCGGCCTACTGTATTCGCGTTCTCAACAGTCGCGCGTCAACTACTCAACGTTAAGAGCAAACGTATATTATTGGGAGAGGCGTGGCAATGCCGCGTAATATCGTCCTTGTTAAAAGAATCCTGGGGAAAAAGGAGCGGTTGTTGTAAGGGGACGTTGAAAGTGTTGGGCCAAAGTCGTTAAGAAATGTTGATAAGAGCCGGGAATGCCGGAAGCGCTCGATCGTCGAGGATGGGCTTGCCCCGAGCCTCGGTAATTCTAAAACACAGGGAGGTCTGGCTTGCAGCGCTCTCGTGCCCGCTGTCGATGCAGTCCTCGCCGTCGCTGGCGGACGAACTCGGGGCCGTCGCCGGCGGCATGCCCCACCTCATATTCCGGAAGTGCCATCCTAATCTGCGCCACGAGGACAGCTCACCGGATAGCGAGCGGATGGCCAACGACAGCGGACACTCGACCGCCCACTCGCCGGACAACGGACCCAAAAGCGTGTCGCCCGTGCCCTGCAGCTCGCTCCACAACATCAACTCGGTCTCGCTCGACAGCATATCCGGTAGGTCTGCCTTGGTTGCCGAGTGATTCTGAAATTCCGTTTCTTCGACATCGCACGACATCTCATTGCCGATCACTCTTTCGTCTTTTTTGCCTCCATTTATCGAAGGAACCCCTAGGCCCATTTACAACTCTTCGTCCTTCCATCTCTCTCCGTTCGACCGCTTCTTAGCTTCTTTCCTTTTTTCTTTGTTTTTTGTTTTGTTTTTTGTTTTGTTTTTTGTTTTGTTTTGTTTTGTTTTTTCTTTTGTTTCGTTTTTCTATTGTAAAGTGTCTGTGATACGATGCGGCATGAGGCTCGAAGCAAAGACTCAATCGAATGATTTTAAACAAATTAATACGAATAAATTCAAACGGCTGATAATAATGTGCTCGACATAGGAAAGTAAGCTCGGGCTTTTCTTCAATAATTCGCATAATTTTTCCAATTCATCCGATTCGCTCGCTTTGACCTTTCGAGCTGGAAACGTTGAGTAGGTAACTTGTAGATATGAACTTATATTATGATTATTAATATAACGATGATTGATATAATGATTTTTTGACAAAACTTTCAAACCATCAATGCATATTCATCAAGAGATATTCTAAGCCCAATTTATACTTTATCGGGATTAATGTCATTGACTCGACGACTCCTTGGCAGATTTTTCAACAAATCAATAAAATTTAATGCACTGTATATATTCCCTAATTTTCAGATTATTGATTTCATTTTTAAGTATTATTTTCAGTATTAATGACGTATTATTCGCAAATAAACACTGTTTGCGATCAATTACAATGACAATGACATAGAAACCTTCTCCTTTTCTACCATTAAGCTCGATCTATTTAAAATTTATCCAATATTTACAATACTTTACCATCTTATTAGGTGGTAAATTCTTCTTTTAAAGGATTTTAAATATCAAATTAATAATTTTCATGCCAATATTGATGCGCTATTTTGCCCTTACACCCACCTGCCGTAACATAATTTTTTAGTAATTTATTTTTAATTATTTATTTTGCTTATGTATCTTTAGTTTTGTGTTTCAAAAATCTATCAATCGGATCTATGTAAAATCATTGTACACTTATTTCGATAAACGCGATTTACGCTTATTTTATTCCTGTGCCCATTTACTTTTATTAATTAACGTTGTCAATGTCATTAAGCAATTCCTTTAATAGTAATTTAATTTTCCAACTTATGGCATTTTTTTTCTTTTTTTTTTTTTATAACACTCGAAGAGGTAGGTACGAGTGAATTTTTTGTTTTTTATTCTTTTACAACGAGCAACATCGACTCATGCATAGCAGAATTATTATATTCTTTAAAAAATCTCGACTCTCGTATCGCACCAAAATATACCAATGATTTACGATTTCATGATTTATAAATAGCTCGTTACGAAAAATTATCACTAGTTAACTTATTTATTGTACAAGCTACACACACTGGACACGCGTACTTAACACACGACAGCACAAAACTATATCCTTCTCGCACATTATTCAGAACGCAGTAAAGGTATGTTGGCTCCATCACTTAAGCTACGTCGCGCGTTTAAAGCGTCGGTCGGATATTCTTAAGAAACAATCAAGTATACGAATATTATTGTGCGAATAATATTCTCTCCTATAATAATAAATCGACGGTATAAGTGTGTCATTAATAGGAGAACTCGATGTCAAATAAACGCTCGATGATTGGAGTTGATTTAACGGGCTGAAACAATGGATTTTAGGAAGCGGCGGAATCCCTTTCTCGCAGCTGGAACTGCTGGAGGCGACGCATCGGGGTCTACACAAATTCATCCCGAGACATCGAGACGAAATTGACCTTGAGATTGGGGACCCGATTTATGTACAGAAGGAGGCCGATGATCTGTGGTGCGAGGGTTAGTAGGCATATTATTGGGAAATACAGTCTGGCTATCGAGGATGCGAGAGCGCTTAAAGTCAATTGTACGCGCAGGTGTTAACTTACGGACAGGACGTCAGGGCATCTTCCCCTCGGCCTACGCAGTCGACATGGATTACAGTGACTTTGACCCTACGGCGCCGAAGATCAAACGAGAGCGCTACCTCCTGGGTTACCTCGGCTCCGTCGAGACGCTCGCGAACAAGGGTACGAACGTCGTTTGCCAGGCCGTACGCCGGATCGTCGGCAATACTGCCGACGAGTCTCCCATGTCGCAGAGCTGCATCCTCGAGATATCCGATCAAGGGATCCGGATGATCGACAGGAGCAAGCCCAAGGTACGACTGGTCCTTTGTATTTGGGAATGGTGCGCGAGCGGCTATTGGGAAAGTCCAGATATCGAAAGCTAAGTTTTGCGAGAATAAAGATAACAGGGAGAGAGAGAGAGAGAGAGAGAGAGAGAGAGAGAGAGAGAAACTTACGAGTGAGCATACTGCCGTACAATACACTATTGTAGTACATATATACATATATATATATATTTATATGTGTGTGTGTGCGTGTGTGTAATGTATGGTTAATAGTAAAATAAGCTCAAAGTTAAAGAATAGCAGGTCTAGCGAATTATAATTTCTCTCTTGTCAAATTATAAGATACATTTAATTAATACAACTAATCTATAATATTGGGATATTGAAATATTATGGGAGAAACTCATCTAATGACATATTCAGTTTGAGAAACAGATATTTACAGTTTAACAATTGTTAAATGAAATTGAATAAATACCTTTATTTGGATATTTATTTGATCAAACATCTTTATAAGAAACCGAAGCTGAACATAAGTTTAATTAATAACCTAAGACATATTAATCACTACTAATTATTTGATTATTCAGAAAAACTCGAGACCCTGTCACGACTACTTTTACTCGCTAAAAAATGTTTCCTTCTGCGCCTTTCATCCACGAGATCATCGTTACCTTGGATTTATCACGAAACACCCGACGCTGCAGAGGTTTGCCTGTCACGTATTCATGGGGCAAGATTCAACGAGACCAGTCGCAGAAGCAGTCGGGTAAATATTTTGTATATTTTTTGGCTAAACTTGTCACTCGATTTGGCTTCCAATAACATTTTCGACGTTCATTAATTATGAAAATACGAAGGACTCTAGCAGGGTAGCGAAGGTCAATGTAACTTTTCTTCTTATAATTGCTATGAGCTAGCAAAGCTATTTTTATTGTACAATAAGAGCTCGAGAAATACTCTAAAAAATACAGGCTTAAATACAATTTGTCGTCTTAAATATCGTGAATAGCGCTTTATTAAAAAAAAAAATCCAAAGATACTAGTTCTTCTAATTTTAATAATAATAAATATTTGTACAATGTCCTCTGTAATCGTTTGAATAATATCAATGAATGTTTCAGAGAGAGAGAGAGAGAGAGAGAGAGAGAGATGAAATGAAAATGTATAAATAGAAAAACATAAGGAACACCTACACATTCAATGCAGAATCATTAAAATTTTCACAATATTCACTTTTTTTAAATCAATGACGTAATTTTGTCACGAATTTTTGAAAGTAATGTTACGGTCCATGACATTGCCATTTTACCGATCGACTCGAGTCTTAAATGTACATGAAATCGTCAAAGTGAATCACACGATAGTTAACAAATAATTCTATTTTACAAATATGTGCATCTTATGTATATTGAAAAATTTTTCTTTTTAAAACATTTTTCCTAGAAGAAATTTACTTTATCCACTAATCATTATAAATGCATTATTTTCATTTCTTCCACTACGTTTTTCTCTCTTCATAAGCTAATGCATATAAAAAAAATTAATAAAAGAGAGGAAAGATATATATATATATATATATATATATATATATATATATATATATATATATATATATATATATAAAAAAAAAAAAAAAAAATAAGTAAATAAATAATAATAAAATCAACATTTCCAATAAAGAGCTCGACAAATCCTTCACAATTTTTCATTTTGTACATTCTACGTGAACATTTTCAATTCAACGATTAACAAAATCAAATACTTTAAATTAATGTTGTTGATGACAATTTTCAATGTAAAAATACAAATGGGGATGATTTGAAAGTTTTTACAAGATATTTCGCCGTAGAAGCAGAAAATTGAACAGATTCCTAAGAAATCAAATGAATATTTTTGCAAAACAATGGGAAAAGTTATAAATAACGTTAAATGGCAAATTAACAGTCAAAATACATTGCTCAGAGGCCTTTGTTTTTAAAAGTTTTTTTTTTTCTTTCTACTACTTGCAGGAGGGCCTTTCATCGATTCTACACAAAGTTCATCGAGACTGCTTTCCCGATTGAAGACATTTACATTGAATAAATATTCCGTCAACAACATCCCTTGTAAATATATTCCTCATAGTTAGCCAGCGCACGGGCAGAGATCTACAATATATTATGTATGAAGAGTTATGTAACAAACTTGAAGCGCATAAATCAGCGCATTTGACTTTGATTTTTCGGTCCCAAGCTTTGCAGAATCGTATTCGGTAGCTACTTGAGCAAAATGAAGAAGAAAGGGAGTAAAGAAAAAAAAAAAAAAAGAAAAAAGAAGAAAAAAAAAAAGCTGTTAAATCAATCAGTACACACAGGTGAAATTCCTACTGAACAATTTAAAGTAGCGATTAATTTTAATAACTTAACAATGATTAACAATTTATCGTTCTTTTTATAATAAAAAGTAAAATATATTTCCTCGCGTCTGGTTATGCAAAGTCGGTGGAATAATAATTTATTCCGATTAAAGTGTCGCAGCTACGATTAAGCAAATTTATAAAATGTATAGAATTTAATTTTTAACTAAGAGTACATTCTTTCCTATCTATTTGTTTATTCAAATAGATTGTCAACTGTTGATAAATACTGTATTATAACAAAATTAACATATGTAAAAACTGATATAAAATTATATCACAACATTGTAATTTAAATCCAAGCATGCGTATTTCTATGTATAACGGACCATTGCATCCACAGCATATCGATTATGATTGTTATTGTAGTAATATTTATTTCCTCCAAGTAAAAGAGCAATTAGCGGTACGGGGCATGTGAAGTAAGAGAGAAAGCACGGGGGTTACGGGATCGGACGCCGAGCATTTAAATACGAGAAGTTTCACCCGCTTGTCACGTACTACCCAAACACATACTTCGTAGCAATTTCGCTTTATTTATCCATTTTTAAACATTTTCTTCTACCTCTTTATAAATAACTCGTTAAAACGCGCAATCATTAATCTCTGCTTATATTTTTATTAACCATTGATTTTTATATCTCGGGTATACTGCAAGACATTGTTCGCGAATGGTGCCGATAACTAATAATACGATTCGTTACTTTTATAATTTCGACAAAAAACAAACAAAAAAAAAAAGTCACAAATGTTCTTTACTATTTGTTCACGTTACGCATTGCGCATTGTATGCCGAAAGTATTGTTGAGCACGTTACAACAAAGTATTAGAGCCAACGGACACAATTCGAGATTTACACTTTATTTTACGAAAAGCAAAGGATAAGACTTATATAGCTTGTAGTTCGTTAGTTGTGACGAATCGTCGACGTAATTTATAAATTATCTGTAAGATAAAACATAAAAAAAAAGAAAAAAAATAATAATAAAGAAAAACAAGAGAGAAAAAAAACATGTACAAGATTTCAAAGTGTGACATGCAAGAAAGGAAATGGTGGTATGCGGAGCGAAATGTTTTTCGTAAACAATTACTTTTCTCTTATAATTATCGTATTTTCTTTCATTCTTACTCATAATGTCTACATATACTTTTCTCGTATCAGACAGCATTATTTACAAAAAGTTCCACCTCTACTAAGTCTTGATAATTCAGTCTTGACACAATAACTATTACGTGTACAATGATTTCAAATCATTATAAAGAATTCATTATTTGTTATACAATAATAATAGTAATAATAATATTAGTTCACCCTTATCTTGTTCTATGTTTTTTTTTTACTTTTTTTTTTAAAATAATTTTTACGCTTATCGCTATCATAATTTTCCTTTAATTTAGCGTGTTAACAAAAACAGTAAAGAATCCACGTGTATATGAAAAATCTATGCCAATCAACGATTTAAATTTAAAATTTTTGCGAACGAAGTTTTACAAATTTATATTTGTAGAAGTTTCATTAATTTCACAGGTACTTTTCCATACATCATTTTAAGCAACGAGAAGCATTTTAGTTG